TTGTTTTTCTTCTTTTTATTTTTATATGGTATAAAAATTATGTCCGCATATTTTAGTAGGCCTATAACTTTTTTTTATACTCTGTCACGTATAGCACAGAGTGAGAACGAAAAATAATATTTGGTTCATGAACGAATTTTTGACAGAACTATCTAACTATCTTGACTAGACTATCAGAGGAAAAAATAAAGACAATAGTTACACCCCATTTTTTTCATAAAGAACAAAATTGTAATTAGTAGAGTTTTATTTCTAAAACGAATCAAACTAATAAAAAATAAACAGCTTGCATACCAAACTCTTACATTCAAAACTACGCCATCGTTGCTTAAATAAAGTTTGAATACACTACTAGTTTAAAATCACAGTATAATATAATTTGTGTAAGCCAAAACACACCTATATCTCGTAATTACAGTTTAATTTACATTAAATACTAGCTTCAATGACAGCCCCACTTTGCACATGCGCATTAAAATCCAATACTGCGCATGCTCGTCAAACATCCAATATGTATTGGATCTGATCAAGCTACATCATCGTACTACAGGCTGCAGCGAGGACCTCTTGGTTTATTCAGCAACTGCTGGGTTTCTTCTGTGGGGCGTATTTGGAGTTTCCACGCGAGAGCGCCCTCTCGCCTTCGGATGGAGATTTACTACTGATCACAGAACTGTGCTTCACTGAAAGATACGCATGACAATCACAGCTTCGGTCTAATCACAATTTCGATATCATTTCGATTTATCGTGCAGCCCTAGTTTCTCAGATCCAGTGATAAGTATTGCCATATATCAGAATGCTGCAGAGACCTGCATTGATGTACAGTGCTGATATGTTTCTGTGGTAAAGATTGTCAGTATGATTTTTGAGAGACCTCTTTTAATCTTGCAGTGCTGCGTTCGATCGAATTGCGGAAATTAACTTCAATATAGATGCAGATGATCATAGTGTAAGTGTCAGCCACTGAAAACACTGTCCATTATTCAAATGATCACTTAGCCCTGCTGTAAGTGTTTTGATGGTTTATTCGGATTGTTGTGCTCTTTAGGCCAATTCTGCAGCTTTTGAGGCATGTTGTAAAGAAAGAATCCAGCAGTTCGATGACTGTGAGGAAGAGGAGGATATTTGGGATGAAAAAGAAATAAACTATGCAACACAAATCAAATCCAGATCGAGGTACAGCACATGGATGATATGCTTGAGGAAATAGATTCTCCTGTTTTGTTTATTGAATTCACATTCTCTATTTATTCTTTCCAGGTTCGGGGTGTCTCTTTCTTCAGATAGTTCACCCAAGAGTGCAGTGAGGAATGGGGGTGGAGGCCGCGGGTCGGCCTCTGAGGAAGAGGATGTTGAGGAAGAGGCCAGTCCTCCGCATTCTGCAGTGGCTCAGACTCAAAGTGAATGCTGCAACATCACCCACAACTCTGAATCTTTCAGATGAATTAGTTTATTGAACATTCTTTGTGCTTGTGTACAGATTCAAGCTGGACGGCGAGTTTTGGTGAGACGGAGGTGAGCTCCTCTAGCTCCTGGGGTGGCCCCCCTCAGCAGGGAGGCGAGGGTCCGCAAGACACAAGCTGGACCTCCTTCACTGAGTTCCAGCCTTTCAGCAGGTAAGAACACTGCTTTGAAGAAAGTTGTATAATGCTTCTTACGACACTGTTTTGGAATGTTTGTTAAAGTGAGGTACTATTGGTTGGACTGTGTTTGAATTATGGGAATACCTTTATCAGTGCTGATCCATTGACTTTTACATTACAGCACAGAGTCCAGCCAGACTGAGGGACATCCTCAACAAGGCCAAGAGAAGAACTGTGAGTATGCTGTATTTGAGTCTTCTGAATATTAACGCCGTTAATATTCTGAATTTCCTATTCAGAAATACATTCACTAAGTTCAATTAGTTTACAAAACTAAAAAGAGGGTTGAAATTTTGTCGTTTAGACCCTTGATTTTTATTATTATTATTTATTTATTTATTTTTTGCAGCGGCTGGCAGTGTTTCGGCTACAGGAGCGTGGGAAGGAAGTCCTGGGCCAAAAGCCCCTCTGGTGGCCTCAGACAACAGCTCGTCTGGAGGCTCAGACAGTGAAGAGGACCCTAGAGAAAATAAGACAGAGAGTTCCCCTAAAACACCTGCCAACCAGACAACAGCACCCTCGAGGTAAGAACACTTTGCGAAGAAATAGCAGCATTAGTGTTTTAATGTAGTTCCAGAAAAAAAGGATTCTCATGACTTCAGGAAGGGAATAATATCACCATTTTTAAACGATGACCGAAGACCTGTAGTGTGATAAACACACCACTTAAAGGGAAGAAAAATATGACACACCAGACTGAAAAGTGAATCCCATTCGGACACTTCCCTATATATTAATTGACTTAAGGTCACATTTACTGTAGTTTGGGGATTTTTCACAGATAAAATCCAGTGATTTCAATAGGAATTCACGCAATTGGAAATTTCGTGTGAGGGTGAATGATTCTTGCAGGGTTCAAATTGGTTGTGAATTTGCTTTTGACCAACAGAAAGTTGCTTGTTATGTTGTGATGCTTCATCGCTACACTATTGACAGTGGATGGGTTTTTTTTTGGCCCACAAAATTTTGCTAATGTTGAGTGCACCTTTAGATAGCCTCTTACTCCACTTGTCCAGTTGATTCAATCAAGTTTTAAAGGGGTCATCGGGTGCTACCTGCACTTTTACAAGTAGTTTGAACTGAAATGTGTGTTGGCAGTGTGTGAACACAACCACCCTATAATGATAAATTCCACCCAGTGTTTTTTTTTTTTTTATCTACTAAAATCTTTACCCCTTTCTCAAATCGGATGTCTGTCTGTGTGATGTCACAAAAACAGCCCCCTTCCACGATAGTTTGATTGACAGTAGCATTTCAGCACAGGCTGGACTGGTGTCTTACCTTAGACCCGCCCTGAGTGAGCTGTCATCAGTCTGCCATTGTTTCACTGCCAGAGCAGATGTAGACAAGAATGAAGACACGGTCACACTAGACTTTGAGCATGCGAAATTCGTTCGGACGCTGCAATGGACGTGATATTATGTCTTTTTAAAAACTTAAAGTCCCCATGAAATCAAATTTTTTTTGGGTGTTAGTATCAATATGTTAGTCTTAAGGTTATCTATAAGGCAGTGTGCTCCAAAACAGTGACAAAATTCGCATTTATAAGATATAAGCATTCAAAGCTTGCAGTTTGTCACTTCCGCCAAAACGGCTCAACGATTTTTTTTGACGTCACATCGTACTTTATCTTCTCATCAAATCTTCTGACCAATCAAATGCTCTCTAGAATCCGAAGCGCCCGCCCCCTGCACTATAAATAGATGCTAAGATCGGTCGCTTGATCACAGTGTAGTATTTCCTGCACAGTGTAGTATTTCCTGTACGGTGAATGGCTCGAAGTGCACAATGTAGGTGATAGGGAACGATTCTGACAGTGTAAATATGCTTTAGATTGGTGCAAATGAGGTCTGGTTTCACGTTGTTTCACACGAACCGCGGCAGCGCACACAGTCTGATCCGGACTTTGGCTCCGGTCCAGAGACGAGATCGCATGCAGCGGATCATATGCGCAAGTCGGCATATATTAAAAACTTTTACAACTACACAGCCTCAGCATGATTATGACCACTATTTTGTTTTACTAAACAGTTTCATATTGAATCTAGGGGGTAATCTATTAGACTGTGGCTGTCAAATGCGGCTTTACCGAGCTCAACGGCTGTGGCCCGAGCAGATTTAAACTAAACGCTATTGGCTATTTTAAAAAGGGGGCGTGGTTGCTCTATGTCCCGCCCTCTCTTCCTGTTTCAGTTGAAATTACGTCACCACATAGAATAATGCTGCGTGTTTCAAGGCACTTCAGGGGACCTTTAAATTCAACACATAAACAATAATAATACACCTAAAATGTAAAAACATACAATCTACTCCACTTTACTGCAGAGCTGCAGTTTTAAATTTGTTCTTTTGATTCAGATAGGTCATGTTGTGACGTATCGATCTGCCGTTGGTCACACGGTATCACGTGATGTGAATTCGCATGCCAGAGTTCACCAAGTTTGAACTTTGGAACGCAGCGAAATGCGAAAACTTTTCACACGCTTGCATTCCCAGTCTAACGCATTCGCATGCGTATGAATGGAAGTCAATGAAGAGAAAAGTGCAGTGTGACCGCGGCTTGACTCCTAAGCGATTGAGGTGTTCTGTTGTTGGATGTAATAATGAACATAGCAGTTGTCATTTACTCTCAACATCTGAGCCGCTGAACTCGCAGTGGATTGTTTCTGAAGGGATCCCCCCCGCGATCAACCTAAATGCGTCTACGTTCGTGCAAATCATTCGTGATCCAGCTTCACCTACAGAAGAAGTGAGTTTAAGGTTTTTTTCATGAATCTAGCAAGTTTCACAATGAATGCGGCTAAAGTAAACATTCCCTCAGAGAGCAGCTTAGAAGAGAGGGGCGGGGTCAGCAGAGCTCATTAACATTTAAAGGAAAATGCTACAAAAAGGCTTGCTCTTTGCAAAGAGCTGTTTTTGACGGGGTAAAAACTGTGTTTTTTACACTGCCATTGAGAAATTTTAACCGAACTGTGTTACAGACTTTTCATTAAGACCCTAAAGAATCATATCAACTTGTGAAAAATGGGCATCAGATGACCCCTTTAAACAATTTAATGATGAAAAGTGATCACTTTCAGTGTCGTAATTGTGAAAGCATTTTTTATTCTGTAAAGGCGTAGAAGTATTTAGAGGTAAATGTTTGTGCTGCACTCTTGCACTCTTTTCTCTGCAGCGAGGTGCCTACTGAAGCTCTGGAGAAGCTCAGCATCACAGACAATAGTGAGTCTTCAGCGTCTACAGAAGAGTCAGATGCTACCACTGTGATGGAGACAAGGTGAATGTGTATTAACCAGATGTTATGTTGTTCGATAAAAAAGGACCCTCCACCCTCTCTTACTCTCTCTTATGCCTCTACAGAGTCGAGGCGCCTTCTTCAGCTGAGATCACGCCTAACGGACCGGTCTGAAGCCTCTGGATAGGAGTCCCGAAAGAGGTCGAAATTATTCTCTGGTAACTGACAGCATCGAACCTGGAACATTTTTGTACAGCTGTAACGTTACAAGCTCCCTACAGTTCTCTCCCTCAAATACAGTGACCTTGATTGGATTTCATGGATGTATTTCATGCACTTGTAAATAGTGGTTCTATATCTCCATGCTATAATAATGATGCAGGATTTGAGCAGTTGGAAGGGAAGGGCACGTGCTGCAGGATAAATGAATTGCCATGTTTCAGAGCACTTCAAGTTCGTTGTTCTTGATGTGCTGGAGACATAAGAGATGGTTTATTAGATATTTAAAAAAGTAAATGAAAATCTGAACAGGACGTGGCCTCTCATTAGTGGGGGCGGCGGCCTGAAAACAAGATACAAGGCAAATTTACCTGCTCAAAGGGGCTCTTTGTCTTGATCCCTTTGCCTCCAACAAACACCCAGTTATCTCTAAATCCCAGTATGCTGATGCTTGAGCTGCCCAATTCTGCTATCAGATTTCTGGCCTCATCGTTTAGCCTGTTCATAATTTTAAAAAAAAAGCAATAAATAGACAAGCCGAGACAGATATGTAAAAGTCTGACCAAATATTTGAAGTGACTCACTTTGTTGCAGGATCATCAAAAGTGGCCATCATGACAATGCTTCCATCTTCTATTTCCTTTAAGAATTTGATAAGATGGTTCACATCTAGACAAGAATAAACATTTAAAAAGGTTAACTTTTGCATGCGACTCGAAAGGAAATTTCAAGTACTTGACCCTGCCGAGTTTGCAAACAGAATCAAGCTCTTAACAATAAAACCGTAACACAGTGGCCCTATTTTAAACTGGTATTAAAATTAGTCTCTTGCCACCCATTAAAACTCAACCATGGGGCCAGAAACCACTAGGGGGCCTCAGCACTCTTCCAAGTGGGCCTCAAGATAATATGGTTTAAATGTTGGATAACAGTCAAAAAGGTTGAGAACTGCGGAATAAAAAGCAGTTAGGCGAGACAAGTCCACATTAATATCCACAATTCTCCAACACTTCTATTACTTTTTTGGAGGACAACTTTACAATACAAATTGAAATCATATGCATTTTGAAACTATGTATAAATGTGGTCTGAGTGATTAGACACAAGCTATGTTTCCATCACCCTGTTTTTATGCACATTTTGAAGCATCACATCAGAGTTTCCATCAGTGTGATGGAAATGCCAAATTTCAGGAAACAAAATCCCTTAATTCACAAAAAAAGTTTTTATGCTCACTTGAGGTGGGTTTTGACTCATACAAAAAAGGGTTAATGCGAATAATGAGAGATGAAAACGCATTTGCCAAATAAATTCCTCCATGCACATCAAAAATGGGACGGCAAACTTGAGTAACCAGCAGACTCCTTGCACAGCATCTGAAATGTTGTTATGGTCAAATGCCCGAGCAAAGTCTGTTGTCAAAGTATTTCTGTTTAATTGCCTCTCAGAACTCTCTTACACAACTGCGTTCCCAGACAGCAGGCATCCACCTTCGAAAGCAATGACCGCATTCATTGTGTTTCGTCTGCTCGCTCTGAGGTGCAATTAATTTATTAGCGAAAATGATTATATTCAGTGGCTTCTCCTACTTTTCTTAGTGATATTAGTTGCCAGTTTATGAGAAAGTGACAATTTTGTTCTCTTTGACTCGTTGGATGGAAACGGTGCTTATTCGCAAATGTTTTATGCGATAATTCAATTTAGCGCAAAAGTTTAATTCTCAACTTTGGATGGAAACCCAGATAATAAAACGGCTTGAATAGAGTACATTACTGCCCACCCACTTTTTCCATATTTTTCCCATAGAGATTTTTTAAAAGTCCTAATTAAAGTGATATAAGCCATGAACCAATTCAATCAGCTTTGAGAAGAATCACAACAATACAAACTTATATTTGAAGTAAAAAAGTATATAAAAATGGGACAAAAAGACTGTGTACCTAACAGTTTTAGTAAAGTGATCACCCAAGATGGAATTTAATACAATGCGTGCAAAACATGCAAATGGAAACAAGATATGAGGTCTAAAAACAGAATTACCTCCAGACCACATGTCAAAGGAATCCATCTTGGTGAGCTCGCCGGTCTTGCCTGTAAAAATACTGTGGATGATTAATTCAGTCCAACTTCTCTCAGTAACTGTTCAGTTAAAAAGGTTTCACCATCTACTTGTTTCTAAAGACAAAAAGAAGGCATACCATTGATCAAAGCAATGTTTATACCCCGTCCAATGTTGTTCTTTACTCCGCTCATTAATCTGATAAAAGATAAAGAAGAAAGAGTTCGCACAGCAGCAGTCAAATTCTTCTAATGTTTCCTCTGAATTCAGGAAGTCCCCAGCCAATAAAAAAAGTCAAGATTTGTATTTTTCTATAGTGATTATTCAGCTCAATTAGAGATGTGTAAAACCTACACATTGTCTTGCAAACACATTTTCGGGCCGACAACGCTGGCTGCTCCACTGGTGATCTTAAAAGCAAAATGGTCCTCGGGACATGATTTAGAAAGGCCGCATTTGTGGCGCGGAGGCCTGGTGGCTGAAAACAACATCAATACAGCCATAAAAACACGTCTTAACTATTTGAGGGGGGAAAAACATTTTTTTGTTCTTATCTTCTGTCTGCATGATTTATTAATTGTTTATATTATTTACACATATACCGGACAGGCGTCTTCACGCTGAATTATGTCTACAACAGACATCAAGTGGGTGAAGTTATAAAAAGATCACCACACCCCAACACACCTACTTTATCTAAAGTAAATGGCAGCTGGCAGCAACTCAACACATCTAATGTGACAACTGTGGAACTCTGTGTCTAATATCAAGAATTTAACACCTACATGCCATTAATGTCATTGCAGGAAAGTTTAACTATGATTGATTTCTGCACAGGTTCAAGTTACGTTTTGAATTCCTCATTTATATCTACACAGTTCTAATCAAAGGCACAGGAGGAGCTTGTTCATTTAGTCCAGTCAGCTACTATTAAGGATTAGATAGGAACTCATTCACCATCCTCAATTCTCATATGTAGTAAAAATAAAAAAAACAATGTACTCACGCACAGTCTCTGCAGGTGCATATCGTGCTGTAGAGAAACATATGCTGATTAGCAAATAGCAGTGTGCCATGTCAAACACTGAAAAACGCGAACTCATTCCTTAACCAAACAAGTGTATTATCTTACTTTACAAACAAAAAACGTGTGCAGTTTCAGATCAGTAAGTTCCGTGTGTGTTGCAGAAAACGGCTGCATGCGTGAACTTACCAAGTACTTTCCCCAAATTTAAATTCATATTGCTCTCTAATAGCTCAAATGCCAGGAACACAACTAGAAATAAGATAGAAACCAGCACTGCCAGTTTCAAAAGTCCTGTAAAAAAAAAAAAAAAAAAAAAATATCCATTCACTCTCTATGTCAAAGCAAACACAAAAACCCCAGACAGTCATGTATTCATTGAATAGAGTACATTACTGCCCACCCACTTTTTCCATATTTTTCCCATAGAGATTTTTTAAAAGTCCTAATTAAAGTGATATAAGCCATGAACCAATTCAATCAGCTTTGAGAAGAATCACAACAATACAAACTTATATTTGAAGTAAAAAAGTATATAAAAATGGGACAAAAAGACTGTGTACCTAACAGTTATAGTAAAGTGATCACCCAAGATGGAATTTAATACAATGCAAATACTACACGTGCAAAACATGCAAATGGAAACAAGATATGAGGTCTAAAAACAGAATTACCTCCAGACCACATGTCAAAGGAATCCATCTTGGTGAGCTCGCCGGTCTTGCCTGTAAAAATACTGTGGATGATTAATTCAGTCCAACTTCTCTCAGTAACTGTTCAGTTAAAAAGGTTTCACCATCTACTTGTTTCTAAAGACAAAAAGAAGGCATACCATTGATCAAAGCAATGTTTATACCCCGTCCAATGTTGTTCTTTACTCCGCTCATTAATCTGATAAAAGATAAAGAAGAAAGAGTTCGCACAGCAGCAGTCAAATTCTTCTAATGTTTCCTCTGAATTCAGGAAGTCCCCAGCCAATAAAAAAAGTCAAGATTTGTATTTTTCTATAGTGATTATTCAGCTCAATTAGAGATGTGTAAAACCTACACATTGTCTTGCAAACACATTTTCGGGCCGACAACGCTGGCTGCTCCACTGGTGATCTTAAAAGCAAAATGGTCCTCGGGACATGATTTAGAAAGGCCGCATTTGTGGCGCGGAGGCCTGGTGGCTGAAAACAACATCAATACAGCCATAAAAACACGTCTTAACTATTTGAGGGGGGAAAAACATTTTTGGCTATGTTCTTATCTTCTGTCTGCATGATTTATTAATTGTTTATATTATTTACACATATACCGGACAGGCGTCTTCACGCTGAATTATGTCTACAACAGACATCAAGTGGGTGAAGTTATAAAAAGATCACCACACCCCAACACACCTACTTTATCTAAAGTAAATGGCAGCTGGCAGCAACTCAACACATCTAATGTGACAACTGTGGAACTCTGTGTCTAATATCAAGAATTTAACACCTACATGCCATTAATGTCATTGCAGGAAAGTTTAACTATGATTGATTTCTGCACAGGTTCAAGTTACGTTTTGAATTCCTCATTTATATCTACACAGTTCTAATCAAAGGCACAGGAGGAGCTTGTTCATTTAGTCCAGTCAGCTACTATTAAGGATTAGATAGGAACTCATTCACCATCCTCAATTCTCATATGTAGTAAAAATAAAAAAAACAATGTACTCACGCACAGTCTCTGCAGGTGCATATCGTGCTGTAGAGAAACATATGCTGATTAGCAAATAGCAGTGTGCCATGTCAAACACTGAAAAACGCGAACTCATTCCTTAACCAAACAAGTGTATTATCTTACTTTACAAACAAAAAACGTGTGCAGTTTCAGATCAGTAAGTTCCGTGTGTGTTGCAGAAAACGGCTGCATGCGTGAACTTACCAAGTACTTTCCCCAAATTTAAATTCATATTGCTCTCTAATAGCTCAAATGCCAGGAACACAACTAGAAATAAGATAGAAACCAGCACTGCCAGTTTCAAAAGTCCTGTAAAAAAAAAAAAAAAAAAAAACTTACTTTCAACTATTTTGTTCACTTTTGCACAATAAACCAATTGTTAGGATTACAGCAATTTTTCAATGTCTTAAAGCAAAATTATTTTTTGCACTGCTGTTACACATACATTACCACAACATATTGTCCACAACAAAAAGAGCAAATACTTGCCGTTGGTTACATGTAATATATACTTAAGCAGAGTTCATTCTGAAAGAAACAGAACACACCTCCTGCTCGCATCATCCTGACGGCCTTGCAAGCACCAGTCACCACACTGAGATCCACACACCTGACATGAGATCAGATATCATCATACAACAAAAGCCTGAATTCCTAAATATCCCAGCTACAATACTTATGTTACCTGCAGGGATCTACTCAAGATAATCAAGATATTTGTGAAGAGTCACACAGCGAAACAATGGCCTGGCTGAGTAACTGACCTATATTTGGTTGATTAAGATTCACAATTCACATTTCCGATCCTCATGTATTTGCTTATTATATATTCAGAGTAACTTGATTATCCTTTCAGCTAAGCATATATATATATACTGCCGTTCAAAAGTTTGGGATCAGTAAGACTTGTAATGTTTTTTAAAGAAGTCTCTAATGTTCATCAAGGCTGCATTTATTTGATCAAAAATACAGAAAAAAACAGTATCTTGCAAAATGTTATTACAATATAAAATAATGGTTTCTATTTTAATATCCTTTAAAATACAATTTATTTCTGTGATGCAAAGCTGAATTTCCATCAGCCATTACTCCAGTATAAAGTGTCTCATGATCCTTCAGAAATCATTCTAATATGCTGATTTATTATTAGAATTATCAATGTTGGCAACAGTAGTGCTGCCAAATATTTTTTTGGAAACTGCGATACTTTTTCAGGATTCCTTGATGAATAAAAAGTTAAAAAGAACAGCATTTATTCAAAATATAAATCTTGCTATCACTTCTTATCAATTTAACACATCCTTGCTGAATAAAAGTTTTAATTTATTTTTTTTAAAAAGAAAGAATACAAATTTACTGACCTCAAACTTTTGAACGGTAGTGTATATTGTTAGAAAAGATTTCTATTTTAAATAAATGCTCTTCTTTTTAACTTTTTATTCATCAAAGAATCCTGAAAAAAAGTATCACAGGTTCCAAAAAAATATGAAGCAGCACAACAGTTCCCAGCACTGATAATAAATCATATTAGAATGATTTCTGAAGGATCATGTGACACTGAAGACTAATGAAGGCACACTCTTACACTGAAGAGTAATGATGCTGAAAATTCAACTTTGCTTCACAAGAATAAATTATATTTTAATGTATATTAAAATAGAAAAACATTATTTTACATCGTAATAATATTTCACAACATTACACTTTTTCCTGTATTTTTTTAATCAAATACATGCAGCCTTGATGAGCATAAGAAACTCCTACAAAAAACATATTTTGAAAGGTAGTGTAGATAGATAGTTTTTTTTCAACACATTTTACCATGTTTAACTTAACATCACAGAATTATATAATGTATGAATGCGTTAAATTGTTCATGACTATTTTAGTGAACTATTAAACTATTTTAGTGAATTCTAATATAGTATAAAGCCATTGTTCAGCACCTTGTTATTATTAAATAGTACTCTGCTCTACAGATATCAGTATGAGCACTGGCCATTATAACAAATCATATTGATCAAACCCTATTCACGTGTATAGAAAGGTGGCAAAAGAAAGTGCAAGTTTATAAGCTGGTTTAACACATGCGAACATAAAAGTTTTAGATTGTATCAGTCTTCACCTGTCATCTGAAAAGGACTCTTTTCACATGAGCCAATAAAACATTCAACAAATCCTTAGCTTTAACTTCAGCTCAAGATATAACATTTAAAACAAACACATACATCCTGAAAACCTATAATTATTTCTGAAAAAGATAACAGAAGCGAATTAATCGTTTGTGTTGGTGTGAAGTTTAGGTGTCAGTTGACAACAGTAAAAATTACAGTAGCCGTTAGCATGAGGCGAATATATAAAAAAAACAAAAACAAGAATAAACCTTAAAACGGATTTATAATATGAACTCAAGAAATCATGTAACCCAACGAATATACTTTTAGACTGCTATTGAATAAAAAAGAAGAGAATAGAAAGAAGTACCTGGTGCCACGGCGACACAACGCTGAGTAGCCCTACACAGCCGGTGTTCCGGCGAATTCAGTTTCCCTGTTTCCCCCTCACAGCGCCTGCGCAACTTCGCAGTGTTGCCAAGTCCGCGGTTTTGCAGCGGTAGTTTGTAGTAGCAATTGGGCGTTCATTTAGCAAGGACCAAACCTAAGATAATACTAGCTTTAATTTAAAAAATAAAAAGAGCCCAAACCAAGCAGGTGTTATGTCTGAATCACTTGGGTCATTGCGTAGTCCACAAAAATGACAGAGATCGTTTAAATCTTCTATAAAAGAGTATATAAGCAACATTTATTGTCACATTTATTAATTAAGTCACAGTAATATAAAAAAAACAAATCCTCTTAAACAAGCTTTTATTAAATGAATTTTAAAATAATAATAATTGTAATTTTTTAAAAAATCCTTTAATTCATGTTGCCTACTTAAATGACAAATTAATATCTAGACAAAAAAAAATGCGCCAGAGGGGAGGAGCGTGCGTGCGTGTGTGCAGAGATGTGTGTACGTGTGATAGAGACAGACACGCCCATGTGGGGCGTGTCCTATATGACACCAGCCCACACTGCTCAGGTTTTTGTTTTATAATAATTTGCTTAATTAGTTAAAAAACTGGTCATACTAGTTTTAGACTATGTAGTTCAATTTGAAGCCATTTGGAACGAATGGAAAATTATATGCAAAAAGAACAGATTATTATTATTTTTAAGACATTTAAAGTACACTATGTTTAAATAAGAAATTCTTGATATTTTAGTGTTTTATGTGAATTTATAGGTTGAATAGTATATACACCTAGGCAATGGACTGAAAAACATTATATTTAGGCAATTCGATTTAAGACAGTAGTATAGGCTACAAACTTTATAATGTAATTCATTTATTTTGTTATTTTTTCCCCCTATACCCTGTACTGCTTAAATATTCTTGAATTTTGAGTCAGATGGGTGAAGATGTCTGGTTCATGTTGGTGTGTAGTGTGGTATGTAGTGTATGTGTGAGAGTGTGTGTTAGTGAGGAGGTGTGAGGTGAGTGTATGCCTTTGTGAGGTGTGTGGTTTGTTTGTTTTCCAAGACAGACCACTGTTTGGTCTCTTTTTCATTTGACATATTTCATTTAGTATTGTATTATTAAAAAAATATATATATACTGTATATATATATATGTATATATATATATATAAATGTGGATGAGAGGATGAGCATACATAATGCTGATGTTTAAATGCATTTTAATTTATTTACAATTCAAAAACAGTAGATAGGTCTATTTGAAAATACATAGTCCCAAAGCTCAAGGAGGATTGCCAGCAGCCGCAGCCTGAGGGAATATGAATGATTCCAGTGCAAAAGACAGAGAGGGTGAAAGTGAATTCACTCCTAATGATTATCCTCTGGTCCCTGTATAAGACACTTCATAGGACAAAATAAGAACCTGGATAGCAAGATAGCATTTGCCTTGGTCTGAATAATGCAGTTCACCGTTATTTCCAAGCATTTATTGTCCAGTCACAGTGCCTGGGTGATGAGATTCATTTGAAACAATTCACACTTGTCTTTAAAGCCTGAGTAGTTCCCAGTGTTTAAATGTTGTTCATTCAATGAGATCCTTAGAAGAAGAAAAAGTAAACAAGCAAATGCAAAAATGAATATATAATCAACTATAAATGAATAAAACAGCCAAATTCAGTTGATATATGCAAGGTTAATATTGACTGGTTCATCAAGCTTACATCATCTGAGTCCTCCTGGACCTGGAAACCATTTAGTTTGCCATTGGGGCTGCTCTCATTGCTAACAGACAGATCATCTTCTTGGAGTTGCAGAGCCGAAAAGCGATAAGCAGGTGACCTGCAGGGGGCAGAATTTGACCAACAGAGAATCTGACTTCTGCAAGACATATCTTGTATGAGAAATAAATGGCAATCAAGTTTTATCATATGACCTTACCTTTGCCTACAGTTCATCCTCTTTGAAGTGATTATTAAAGCTGCAGTAATAATCAAACCAATGACCCCCACACAAGTACACACCACAATAAGAACCAGCATGCCCGGCTGCAAATAGAAAGACAATAAATAAATGTTCAACAGCCATGTTTTTCTTTATGTATTATTTTAAATGTGCTGATTGATTTATGAACGAAATTCATATTGATTTTCAGAAATACATCACTCTTGCTCATACTGGTTAAGCAAACTGTATTTATGATCGTTATATTGTAACATACATGATAAGTGATTTTACTTTGTTTTTTGGCCACTGTATAGTGAGTAATGATTGTCATGAGAAACGGGCCACTCACTGATCTCTTAGTATGCGAATTTGCGGAAGTTGGTGAAATGTCATTCCCACAAAGCTTTTTGAAAACATCTTCTCGTCTCGGAGGCCTGACACCCTCCTCACATTTATCGCCAGGAATCTTACGATACCTGTATAACACAGTGGTATAATTATAACAATGAAGTGTATGTATTTGTGTGTGTTTAAAAATTTTGCTATATAGAAATCAAGATGTATTTCACCATCACCCTGTATTCTGCAGGTCTTCTAGCTCCCCATTTAAGCAAATATCCTGGGTTTGATTCAGGAAGTCGGGTTGTAGGAGACACTCCGAGGTGTTTTCATGCCGATAGAAACCGTACTCGCTGTTGACAGGAGAGATATTCAGAAAACATCTTTTGTTTGGTCATAAGCAGAAGTCCAAACCTCAGTGTGGTGCAATTTTTCCTACCACATGTAGTCTTCCCTAGTGCAAGGACATGGACGCTGCTGCCTGCTGACCACATATCCTCTCCCATTTCTACATGCTGACAGTTTCTTTAGTCTTCTAAACGTCTCTTTGTAGCCCAAGAGGCATCCATCTGTTTCTGGGTCAGAGTCATAGTCAGAGTGTGCCAACCACTGCACATAGTCCTCTTCACCACCTAGGAAAAGACATGATTTGGACAAACTTCTAAGACTAAATACTGCATTGTCACAATTGTGGTACAGATATAAATGATATTGATGTTGAGGAACTATAATGTTTTTTCCTTCTTGAGGGATTGACATGAAGCTGATGGGCTTATGCTGTAGAGCATCTGTCAGGCTGTCATTGAGCATCTGTTGGCCTATATTTTTGTAGTGTTTTCTGCACCTTTGGCACTAGTCGGACCCCCTGTCAGAAGCTTTTAGTCCGACTGAGCATGTTAGAAGCTCAAGCATGTTAGAGCATGTTAGAAGCTTTCAAATTTTGGCCTTTTTTATAAGAAATTCAAACAATAAATGCCATTTTATGGCTCTTTGATGTGTTGTGACAGATCGCTGTAGCGCCTCAGTTCGTGTACCGATCAAGGTATCTTGTGTCAACTGCAGAAAGACATCAATACGCACCATTTTTTACATCCACCAACGTTAATCTACTCTCCTGTCTGGTTTGTTTTTTGTCGGACAAAATAGCAGATTCAGCAGTACAATTGGTCAGACCGCCAGTCAGTCAAACTCCCGGCAAAGGGTCAATTCTACATTATTCATTGATTTGTGTCTGAGCTTTGATGATTTAGTATGATACTTATTACACTATTTGAATTCTGCCCATAAGTCTTGAAACGTTTCTTACATTCTCTGGTGAGCAGGTGCTCAAAGTCTATGGTGACAGCCACCCACATGGGCTGATCATCATCGTCTGGGCGGTAGCCGAAAATGCTGATATTCATTGTCTTAGTGCCCGGCTCGGATGCCAGTCCTGCTAGGAAGATTGGGTGGTCTGTGAAATTAAATACCTTCCAGCACTGTCCTTCATCTGTGGAAAACCTGAAAACAGACACACATAGTCATATATGACAGTGACCACAAATTACATGTTTGTTCTTTCAGAACGAGAACAATGTGTTATACAACTGCAGGGCAAGTGATAGTGTGTTACTTTATTGAGCTGATCTGTCTGTCTCTATGCGCCTCCACGGCCACAATCAGCCCTCCAGAATCCAGGATGCTATAGTGGTGAGGTCCTCTCAGAGTCCCCCACCAGGTGTAACCTCCATCCCCAGACACATACACATCTGGCCGAGCGGCTGAAATGGAGTCACCGACACTACCTGCAGTGACATTTAATATTTTGACAAGTTTGAATGTTAAAGGGATAGTTCTTCCAAAAATGAAAATTTGATGTTTATCTGAATCAGGGTATCTTCCGTCCAATCAATTTTTGTTTTAATATTGAAATCTGAAAAATGAAAAACGGCACATATTTCGTTTTTCAATTATTCAAACAAAACGAAAAATCAAGAATCCAGCTTAATTTTTCGTTTTTACATTCAGGGATAGAAAACGAATAAACAACTTGAATATTCGATCTCTACATGTGGGCGGGAATGAAACGCCCCTCTCTGCTAATTGGTCAACCAAACATTACAACATAATAATAGTCCTAAAAAAACCTTAATAATAGTCCTCCGCTTCTATCTATTCTTAACATGTTTATTTCTACTACATTTTATCTCTTCATCAAACAGAAGATACCCTGATTTATCTGCTTACCCAATCCGTGTATCATTTGATCATTCGTTTTTTTATTTAATATTGAAAGTAGAAAAATTAGAAAACGGCTCTTCTTTCGTTTTTTTGTTTTTTTCCCAAAAAACGAAAAACGAGAATTCAGCTTAAATTTTCCTCGTACAGGGGCAGAGTCTAGATAGGTCTTTCTTCTGTGTAGACCAGCAGTTCTTAAAGCGATAGGGGGTCCAAGAAATAATTTGCTATAGCCTAAAGTATTTCCAGACTGTAAAGTCGCTTTTGTTTTTCGTTTTTTGGATTAAAAACGAAAAAAATAAAAAAGGAGCCGTTTTCTAATTTTTCTACTTTCAATATTAAATAAAAAAACGAATGATCTAATGATACACGCATTTTACCCCCCAACCGGGCATCCAAGATGTAGGTGACTTTGTTTCTTCAGTAGAACACAAATGATAGGTGGTGGTAATGCACTTATAAGTCTGCGATCCGCCGTAAAGCAAGAAGAAGAAGACGCTTCACGCACCGTCTGTCAAGAACGCACTCAGGAGGACGCGCAGTTTGGACATTGCGTGAATCAGAGGTAAAAAAAACGATATAAATGCTGTTCAGTTTCTTGCACAGACCGATCGTTTTGTGTCTTTATACATCAATGTATCGTCACGAGCCGCAGGGTTTAATTTGGTTTTGTTTGTGTATGTTTATTTTTACTCTCAAACCCGTGATTCCCATTCACCTCTGTTAGAAAACACTCTCTGTCTTTTGATGCCGTACCCCTCCTTTCTGTCTCTTTCTCTCTCCTTCTCTGAATCACCCCTCCTCTATCTGTTCTCTCTCTCTCTTGTATGGTGTTTGAATGTCTCTTACACAATATTCAAGGTAAAGGAAGTCTATTCCTTATATGGATATGTTTTTCTGTATATGTGGCAATTTTATACAAAACACATGTTCTTGGGAAAAACATCCTGTATGGGTATGTCCCCCTATCCTCATTGGTTAAGAGGGTGAAAACTCCCCTCGACATGCCTATATAAGATCTGTATTTCTGTGAATAAATTGAAGTATTTGAGAATACATTTGAATGTGTGTTTTCTTACTTCCCGGCCGTATTTATTTACACTTGGAGAGACTGAGAAGATTTCACGGTGGCAAAGAGATATCGAGGGACCAAATTGTTATTTATTAACAA